AATCTTCCAACGCCACCTCGAGATGAGGAAAGTCCAGTTGATGATGATGGATTTGCATGGTGATTCTGTGTGGCTAGCTTCCCAACAGCTGGTTGTTGATCAATAGGAAGCCTTGACCATCCACCATGTCCATACAAACTCCTAAATCCTGAAGAACTTGGCATGTTAGAAGCCTTATGGATCATCGAATGAGCCTGTATTCCAAGAGCCCTAGAATTATAATTATAAGCACCATGAAGGGGAAGAGAAGCCAAGCTAGAATAATGGTCATGCTGATCATGGTGCCAATAAGAGTGCCCATGAGGTGGTACAGGTGACCATATTTTAAGTCCTCTTTTAGCTAAAGTCCTCTCTCTTTTGTGTGCATTTTGGTGTCCTCCAAGTGCTTGTGAACTAAAGAACTTTCTTCTGCAATAGGTGCATGAGAAAACCCTTGGCTCGGCCTCCGGTTTTTGGGGATTTGCTGATGAAGTTCGAGTTGAATCCATGTTCAAACAATCAATAAGATTGAGTTCTGGTTTGAACATATCATTGGAGTCCTTACAAGAGAGCTTGAGATCAATCATCTTCTCTAGTTGTCCATCTTCTTCTTCTTCTTCTTCTACTACTACTACTACTACTTTTCTTTCTTCTTGTGTGTTCTCCATTGAAGTGTCTGGACATGGAGGAGCCTCTGGTGTAGAGGTGGTGCTTGAGGACTTGGAAGGACATGGTTTCTCTCTTTGTGGTTCCATTGGGGAGTATATGAAATTTGTAAAGATGAGAGAGAGAGAGAGAGAGAGAGAGAGAGAGAGAGAGAGAGAGATTACTTGGTTTCAATTCAATTGATTGAAACTAAACAATGCTATATAACTGTATAACTAATCTACTGGTCATGGTTCCTAAGAGCTGATTGTATAAAGATTTACCGTCATAGTTCAACAACTATAGCATTCCAACAATCAACTAAATGACTTAATCAATGACAGTAACATTAGATGCCACACACGCCCAAGTGTTTTAAGATAATAAGAACATGTTTACTTTCGTTTTTATTTTTTTTGTTTTTTTTTTTTTTTTTTTTTATTTTTTTTTTTTTTTTTTTTTTTTTTTTTGCTTTGCCACATCAGTAGAGTTGGCTTTAGAACTCCAACTCTATAGTTCTCTATCACTATTGGTCACCTAATTAGCCCCATTTCTGGAGTTTATCTTTGGTTGTCAGCTTTTCTATAATGTCTAATCATTTAGTAAGAACTGCTAAGGGTAGTTTGAAAAACATGCCATACCCATATCAGGTATTTACCGGCGTATGGTACCTCGTCTGGTACTTCTGCATATGTACCGGATACATGAAACACATACCCAAATTTTTTCTTTTTCATTTTTAGAATGCCCAGACGTACCTAGTATATACCCAAGTCGTACCGTATCTTACTTAAAACAATATTTTCTTCTACTATAAAGATAAAACTCCTTTCACTAGATTTTCTTTTTTATTTTTTGTTTTATGCTTAGCATGATTTTAAAATTAAACTTTTGTTTGTAACTTAATTAATATATTGACATTTAATTTTGATTTAGACCTTTGTTTTTAGCATTAAATGTTAATTGTAGGTTGAACCTTAACAAATTAAATCATTTTATTAAATTTTTTTTTGTTTTACAAGCGTACCAAGTCATACCATATCAACGTACTCGTATCATACCAGTACTCGTATCCGTATTCGTATCTGTACCTGTGCTTCATAGCTTTCCATGCATAGCTTAAATTATGACGACCACAAGAATGTAAAGTATGCATAACATCTTCATATTTGGAAGAGTTGTCAATGTTCTTCCAGAGTAACTTCTCTCAACTCCAAGGTTACCGAAAATGGGGAGTTCCATCTGCCTTCTCTTAATCTCTACCGCCATAGCATTTTTGCACTTTCCACAACATCATCATTCTAGGTCCATATCTATCAACTGTAGCCACAGAATTGGCAATTGTCCAAGTAAATAAGCTGCTTTCAAGTATATCAAGTACTTGTAAGCCCAAGTTAGAGTTCTTTCTCTGATGGGTTCAATTGAGGTCACTTTATAATTTCTCTCTCTTGTCATGTTTGCATGATTTTTATACAACCAAATGTTTCATATGTGTTAGGTCCCTAAGTCTTGTCAATCCTGTGAACAAACTTGTGTGATTGAGTTGTAAATTTCCTTTTCTTTTTGTCTTCCTCACTCGAGCGAAGGAGTCCTCTCTCGAGCGAAGACTGCGTCTAGCAAAAACCTGAAAGAGATGAATGTGCGCTCGAGCAAAGGACTGCGTCTACATAAAAACCTATAAGAGTTGATTGTTCGCTTGAGCACTGGATGTGTGGCTCGAGCGAAGCCACTTATGGAAATCACGCGAGTTAAGTTTCTCGCTCGAGCAAGAGAAGCTTCGCTCGAGCGAGCTTCAAAATCCAGGATTTCTATAAGTAGTTGTTTTACTCCAAAACTAGGATTAAGGTTTTTAGATCTACTTTGAGGTTTTCTAAGGTTTTCTTTTGGAGTATTTTTGTGAGTTTTTCCTTGATAAATTGAGTGAGTATTAAACTCATAAATTGACAAGCACATATCAATGAGGTTGATTGAATACATACAAGAGTGTTATTCTTCGGTGGATTCTGAAGATTCAAGCGTGGAGTTTCAAAGGAGTTTGATTATGTACATAGTTGTTGATTCGACAAGTGAAGTTGTGGATTCAATTTCAGATTAATCAGTTCCGAGATGAAGGCTTGGTGAAAGAGTTACAGAAGGTTTGAAGACAAATTGACTGAGTTGGGTAATTTATGTGTTATCTTTGTAATCTTTCTTTCTTTAGTAGTGGATTGATTAATGGCATTTCGCCCGTGGTTTTTTATTACAATTGAAGGCTCTTCAAATGTGGTTTTTCCACGTAAAAATTGTTTGTGTCGATTTATTGTTTATTTTGAAAATAACAATCTAAATCACTTTCGTAAGTGCTTGATGATTTAGATTGCGTGTTTTGAATGATTGGGAATTAAAATACTTTAATCTTGATCTAATCACGAATCACTTGGGATTTTCAATTGGTATCAGAGCGGGTCACTCTTTGTTTTTATCAAAACTATAGGAGTGTGATTTTGTGTGGTTAAGCGATATGGATGCAATTCGTGAAGGTAACTCAACCCATAGGCCTCATTTACTCGATGGTACAAACTATTCTTATTGAAAAGCTCATATAAGACCGTTTTTAAAATCCATCGATGAGAAAGTTTGGCACTGCGTGATCTATGGGTGGAGTGAACCTATTGTCACCGTTGATGGTATTGATATTCCTAAACCCCTTGATAAATGGGATACAACCGATTACCAAAACTCGAGTTGGAACAGTAAGGCTCTCAATTCCCTTTTTTGCTCCATCACACCTGAAGAGTTTCGTCGTATCTACACGTGTGAGGTAGAAAAAGAGGCTTGGGACATTCTTGAAACGATTCACGAAGGTACTACTTCGGTCAAATGGTCAAAACTTCAATGTCTCACCTCCGCCTTTGAAACTCTTTTTATGTGCGATGATGAGACGTTTGATGATTTCTATGCAAAACTTAGTGATATCGTGAATTCCTGTTTCACACTCGGTGAAAAAATCCCTGAAGCTAAAGTTGTTGGAAAAAATTTGAGGTCTTTACCCGAGAGGTTCCAATCAAAAGTGACAGCCATTGAGGAGGCTCAAAATGTTGATACCCTCAAACTTGATCAGTTGGTTGGAAACTTGCAGACTTATGAAGCCCACCAGATTTCTAAGAAAAAACAAAAAGATAGTGTGGCTTTCACTAGTGCTCATGAGACTGCAAAAATTCTGAAGGCTGAGTTTAATATAAAGTCTGAGATGACGGCTATGTTTACTAAACAGTTTAAAAAAATTTTGAAGAAAAAGAAGCCTAATTTCAGAGGCCCTATTTCAAAAGACAAGAGTAATGAAAAACCCAAAACTTTTCCACCAAAACTTGCTCCAAAACCTGAAAAGAAGATTGTGAAGGGGCAAGGGGTCAAGTGCTATGAATGTCAAGGGTTTGGGCATATTTCCCTTGAATGTCCTTCGAAAAAGAATCGAAAGAAAGTCTACATAGTGACTTGGGATGATAAAAGTGCGTCGGAGCAAGAACCCGAAGAACCTGAATCCGGTGAAGACGGGAATAGTGCTTTCATGGCATTTTGGTCCACTTTCACTCAACCTCTTCCAAAGCCAGCGGAATTAGATCGTGGTCAAAACCTGCATCATGCTCCCACCTTTGATGGGAGTAACTACTTGTATTGGAAGATTAGAATGAGGGCGTTTCTGAGAGTTTTAGATCCAGAAGGCTGGCAAGCCATTGAAGAGGATGTTGAAAGTATTGACAATCCAAGCAATCTGAGAGTTATGACTACTATTCGTGGAGCTATTTTTGATGAAGAACTGCAACTGGTTGCTCACTACACAAAGGCTAAAGATGCGTGGGACATTCTGAGCCAATTTCATGAAAGAGGAGAGTCATCTTCACTGCCATCCATCACCTTTTCTGCCTTAGTTGCTCGACTGGATGAGGTCAAGGAGAATGAGGAGCAAAAGATAATGATGAAACATTAGAAGACAATGATGAGATTACTGGTGATGATCTACAACAAGCTTACGAAAAGCTTTATGATGAAACTCTAAATCTGTCTAAAATCAATGACAAACTCACTCTCAAGCTCAAAGCATGTGAAAGCAAGAATGTCAAGCTAAAAGGAGAACTTGTAGCAGCAAAACAGAATATCATCAAGATCTCAAGTGACATGCAAGACCTATGTGGAAAACTTCTATCCTGTGAAACTGAAAGGAATGAACTTCTGAAAGTGTATTCCACATATGAAGAGAAGCTTGAAAGCCTTGAGATGCCACAAGCTACATTGAAAGAGATAGTCTGCCAGAAAGATGAAGAACTTCGTATTGCTAGAGCCACAATTGCCATGTGGAACAAAGATTCCAAATCATTAGAAAACATCCTCGGGTCTCAACAAATGGGTTGTGACAAAAGTGGGCTACGCTATGGTGCAACAGCTCACAAGGGACAGGCCTCTACATCACATGACCTGAAGACTCAAGCAAAGGGAAAGTTGAAGGTAGACCAAGGTGATCCCTCTCTTTATCTACCTAAAGGGGGAAAGATCAACAAAATGGAGGTAAAACCTGTTTTTATTTGTCATCACTGTGGTAGGTATGGCCCCATTCGTCCTTATTGCTTTGAATTGTTTGGTAAGGTGTCTCAAAAGGGTAGAAATTCGAATACATTTTGGGTTAGAAGACAACCTTACATGTCTAGGCGGAATACCAAGATTCATGAGGGTGTTCACAATGCCAAGACATTTACCAAGACTGCTAGACCTGATTTTGTTAAGACCAAAAAGATTTGGGTGAGAAAAGATGATTTGACTTGTTTAGTTGTTCACACTGCTCTCAAAGCACGTGACTCACACATGTGGTATCTAGATAGTGGGTGCTCTCATCACATGTCCTGTAACAAATCCTACTTCACCTCCCTTGAAAAATATGAAGGAGGAATTGTTACCTTTGGAAATTGTGGCACTGCTAGAGTCATTGGTAAGGGCTCTATAAGTGTTACTGGTCTTCCCAAGCTAGAAAATGCTTTACTTGTTGATGGCCTTAAAACAAATCTTTTGAGCATTAGTCAAATGTGTGATTCCCACCATGAAGTATTGTTTTCAAAAAATAAATGTGAAATTCTGGATAAAAAGGGAAATACTGTCTTGCATGGGGTTCGCACATCTGACAACTGCTATGGGATTGTTACTACTAATGATCTCACTTGTCACTCTGCCGTCATAAGCAACATTGATTTGTGGCATCAAAGATTAGGTCACATGAATTTCAAAGACCTAACTAAGATAGCCAACAAAGAGCTTGTGAGAGGAGTACCTAAACTTGGTAAGAATCTGAACCATGTGTGTGGACCATGTCAACTTGGAAAGC